CCATAGTCACCCAGCTTCTGACTTTGGGGTTATTTACCAATTTTAGTGAGGTAGCATGGAGCAATGGAAAGGATTCTGGGTTTGCAGTCTGAAGATCTGGGGTTCAAATGCTAGCCTCTTACTTATCTATGTAACCTTGCAGAAGTCATTTGGTCTCTCTAAGCCTTAGTTTCCTCATTTATAAAGTGAAGGAGTTGGACTAGATGACCTCTAAGGTCTCTTATGGATCTATGTCCTCAAATAGACTATAGGGAAATTGTCTATCGTTCTTAGCAAATCACCTCACAGAGTCTTTAATGGTATTCTCGGGGAGATGTTGGAGAGATATGGCCTAGGCATTGACATAATTACATGGATTTGAATCTGACTGAATGACCAGAACCAAAAAGCAATTTGTTGATTAAAGGTTAGATGCCATTTTGGAGGGAGTTCTGTTGAAATGACCTAGGTGCTTGGTCTTTTGTTATTTGACTTTTTTTTCCAATTCCATTTTTTTTCAAAGACTTGAGCAAAGATATCAATGGGAAGAGGATACATATTTATATGGTGCCTACTGTGTTCTAGGTGCTGTGCTGAGTGCTTTACAAATGTTATTTCACTTGATCTGCATAACAACTCTGTGAGGTAGGTGCTATTGTCTCCATTTTACAGTTGAGAAAACTGAGGCTGCGAGATTCAGTGACTTGCCAAGATTCAAACAACTGGTAAGTGTCTGACGCCTTATCTGAACTCAGGTCTTCCTGATACCAGAATCAGCACTCTATCTACCGTACCACCTGGCTGTTTCTAAATGCTATGCTTGTAGATTTTCAGAAGACACACAACTGGGAGGCATACTATCACTTTGGATGACAGAGTCAGGATGCAAAAAGATCTCAGCCGCCAACTTGACATTATGTTGGCTGAATCTAATGAGCTGAAACTTAATTGGGATAAATGTTCAAAAACTCAGTTTCATAAGTACAAGGTAGATGATGAGTATCTTGACAGCAGTTCATTCACTCATTCACCCATTCAAAAGATCTGGGAATTTTAGTGGGCTTCAAACTCAGTGTGAATTAATAGTGTATTTTATCAGCTAAAAGAGCTAATGTAACCTTAGGCTGTATTAAGAGAGGGTGTAGGGGAATGGTTGAACAAGTTGTGCTATAAGAAATGATGAGCAGGCGGATTTCAGAAAAACCTGGAAAGACTTACATGAACTGATGCTGAGTGAAGTGAGAAGAACCAGGAGAACACTGTACACAGTAACAGCAACATTGCATGATGACCAGCTTTGATAGACTTAGGTCTTCTCAGTAATACAATGGTCTAAAACAATTCCAAAAGACTCATGATGGAAAATGCTATCCACATCCAGAGAAAGAACTATGGAATCTGGATGCAGATCGATGCATACTATTTTCTCTCTCTTTTTTTTCTTTCTTGTGGTTTCCCCCTTTGTGTTCTGATTCATCTTTCACAACATGACTAATGTGGAAATATGTTTTTTTTTAAACAGGGGGTGTAGTACCCAGAGCTATAGAGATGAAAGTCTCATTGATATGATATCATCACTGATATGGTCATATATGCAATATTATGTTCTTTTTGGATTTCAGCATTTTAGGAAAGATATTAATAAGATAGGAAGATTTTTAGAGGAGCAGCTGGAATGGTGAAAAATGTTGAGATCATATCACATAAGAAAAATTGAAGAAGCTGACTCTAGCGTATGGAAAATAAGGTTTAGGAGGGATATAATAGATACCTTTAAGCAGAGGCAGCTAAGTGGTGCAGTGGATAGAGGGCTGGGCCTGGAGTCAAGAAGATGTGAATCCAAATCTGGCCTCAGACACTTACTAGCTCTAGTGTGACCCTGAGCAAGTCACTTTGCCTACGCTTGCCTTAGTTTCCTCAATTATAAAATGGGGATCTTAATAGTACCTACCTTCCGGGTTGTTGTAAACATCAAAGAGATCATATTTGTAAAGAGATTAGCACGGTGTCTGCACATAGCAAATGCTATACAAATGCTAGTTATTTATTATTATTATTGTTATTATTAATAAAGTATTAGGTAGGACATCAACTGGAAGAGAAATTAGACCTGTTCTTCTTGAGCTCAGGAGGAGGATGTAGAAGAAATTGTGAAGATGCAAATTTAGGCTTGATATAAGGAAAAATTTCATAACAATTGGAGCTGTCCTAAAATGGAAAGGGAGTGGCTTGAGAGATAGGGGTTCCATATTGGAGGGCTTTAAAAACCCAAGCTCGATGAACCCTTGTTGGCAGTTTACAAGCTACAGACTTACCTGGACATTTAGTTTAGGAAAAGGAAAGAGATGTCCTTGGCATCCTGGATTTGCAGCTCACTTTTCTGGCCAGGTTTTCTGGATCTTTGCACTCCCTAGTCAGAGTGCTTTGAATGTGTTTACCTAACTGGTTTTACAACCCACTGTTTGCCTTTTGACTATACCTTGAGATATGGGCTTTCTGATCATTTCAAGATCCAGTTTTTCCATTTTCTGTTCTCATTCTGACCTCATTGTCCTAATTCTTTTAGATTGTCTGATAGTTTGTAATGATAGATTGCCTTATGGGCATTGTCCATTCTGTTGTAGCCCAAGAAAGGCTGATCTAGTGCCAACAACTACCCAGCTCCTTGTATCTTGGACCCATTTCTTGTTGGGGCCAAGTGAGACACGAAAGAGTCACAGGGACATAATAATTCATATGAAAAAGACCTAGTCACTTATGCTAACTACAAATGAGACAATATTAAGCCCCAGATTTTAAGAAGGACATATAGAAACTGGAGTGGATTCATATAAGGGCAATTAGACTGATGAGAGGACTGGGCCTTATGCCATAGGGTGATCATTTGAAAGAAACTTGGAACGTTTCACCTAGAGAACAAGAGATTTAGGGAGGACAAGATAAAAGTGTTCAAGTATTCAAAGGCCTGTCAATGGAAAAGGGACATTAGACATGTTTTCTTGGCCCCAGAAAGTACAACTAGGAGTAATTACAGGGAACATGGGTAGTTGCAGGGAGGTATATTTTAGTTTGGTATAAGGACAACTTCCTAGCAATTTTACTGTTGTTCAGATATTTTTCAGTCATGCCCAGCTCTTTGTGACCCCATTTAGGGTTTTCTTGGCAATGATACTGGAGTGGTTTGCTATTTCCTTCTTCAACTCATTTTACAGGTAAAGAAACTGAGGTGAATAGTTAAATGACATGCTCAGGGTCACACAGCTAGTATATGTTTGAGACTGGATTTGAATTCATAAAGATGAGTTTTCCTGACTCCAGGATAGGCACTCTATCCACTGAGTCATATAGCTGCCCTTTCTTAACAAATTAATATACATGTATGTATACACACACACACACATATGTATATGTATATACAAATGTGTGTATGTATATACATATATAACAATTTTATGTGTATGTATGTATGTAAATATATATACATATATATATATATACATATATACAGAAAGAGAAATATTATAATACCTGTATTTACCTCACAAGGTTATTGTGAGGAGAACATTTGTTGAGGGCTGATCTTAAGAGTCTGATAAGGGTTTAAGATCCAAGGCAGAGTTTGACCTCTGCCCAGGCTTTTACCCGAAAGGGCTCAATGATTAAGTGGTATGGCTCTCCAATCCCTTCCTGATTAGGAGGTTCCTGAGATGTTCCTTCTCACTCTTTGAACCTTAGATTTACACATTCACTCCTCTATGCAGGTGGTGCCAAGGCGCCTGGGAAAACCTTGGAATATACAACCCAATCTAAGAACCCTGATAATGAGGAAATGTATGTTGTCACGTTCTCAGCAGATGTCTTGGGGAGTATCTCACGGGGAGGACTCTGAAGTTAGGCTACATTTTCTCTATATATCCTGTACCCTCAGATGAATAAACTGAGTCAGTAATTCTGCTCCGCCTGGCCCATGTCTCAAGTTATTTCACTCCTCTCTGTTCGGTGTACAATCTGGTTGCGGGCAACAAACATTGTATAAGTGTGTGGAGCTATTATTTTTATTTCTGACTTGGATTGGTTGTGGTAGTGTCTTGCAATTATTTAATAGAATGTGAACTGATCATTGAAGGATTAGTAAGATTGTAACAGACAAAGAGAGGTAAGCCAAGTATAAGCAATGGCATGAACAAATGTGTGCTGAAGGCCACAAATTTCTGGGAAGGTGAAATATATTCAGCCCTCAGACACAGTGGAGTTCTCTGTAGGACACTGTAACCAGGATTTTGGCGGGGCCAGACAATTTAGAGCAGTAGGTCTTGATCTCTTGTTTTGCAATGGACCCCTTTGCCATGCTAGTGAAGCCTATGGACCCCTTCTTAAAATAATGCTTTTAAATACATAAAATAAAGAACCTAGTTTCACAAAGGAAACCAGTTTTATTGAAATGCAACTATAAAAAATGTATTTAAAAACAAAGCAAAACAAGTTCATGAGTGTGCCGAGAGAACCTTCCTGGAACATTTCCTCAAACATGCTTCCTCCACTTTCCAGCTCTTCCTCAGGCTTCTTTCCCTCTGAGGCCACACTGTATTCAGCTTGCATTTCTAGCATTGTTTCTTTCTCTAGCCAGGGCTGTACCCCAAGTGAGCTTCCTTTTGCCTTTGTCCAGGTGAAAATATTTCTAGCTGATTCATACTAACCCCTTTAATAGGATTTTCCTTGACAGATAAAGGCTAGTCAGACACCTGATAGATTCCTTGCAAGGATGGGATACAAACCAAATAAGTTTTAATAGTATAGTTTTGTGGAATGATCTGGAATATGGGTGCTGCCCAGGGTGGGCAGGTTTGGGTATAGACCCAGACAGTTTTAAGGAACATTTAATTTCTTCTGGGGCAAGGATCTCTGAATCTTTGTTTGAGTCTAGGAGAAAGTGGGATAGAGAGAAATATCCAACTGATTGTGGCTCACCTGAATGTTTTGTTTTTCTTCTAATCTTCAGCTGAAAACTCCATGAGAAAGGCTATGATACACCAAGACATAACACAGGCAGAAGCTGTGAACAAGTCTCTAGTGAATGTGGACACCAGAGGGAATGATATTTCAGCATTTGTGAAAGCTAGAAGACACAGAAAGCTCCAGAGGAAAATTTTCCCACACTCTGCTCTTTTCCGACAGTGGGGTGATGACCTGACCAAGGCCCAGCAGATCCAGGCCTTCATGCTCTTCTCCCTGTATGGTTACAATGTTTACCTCAGTGACCACCTGCCCTTCAATCGAGCCATCCCAGACACTCGTTCCCACAGGTACAGTGGAAATGGTATTGGTCTACCCAACCCCAAGCAGCCTCTCTTTAATTAGGGGCTAAATTTTTAGGGGAGTAGAGAAGATGGTCTGAAGAACAAGTCAAAGGCAGCTAGGCGGCACAGTGGATAGAGCACCAGCCCTGAAATCAGGAGGACCTGAGTTCAAATCCAGCCTCAGACCAAACATTTCACACTTAATAACTGTGTGACCCTTAAAAAAAAATGAAGAACAAGTAGAGTGGTAGAGAGTGGCCTCTGGTTATCCCAGTACTATTTTTCTTCCTGTTTTAGAGAGGAGGAAATTAAGGTGCTGAAATTCAATGACCCATTCACAATTCCAGAGCAAAGGAGAAATGCACAGAAAATTCGTAATGTAATAGAGATTTTATAGTGGGAAAGGATCTCTGAGATGATCAAGTCTAGCTTTTCTTCACATCATTTATTTCTAATTCCCATTTTATAGATAAAGTGACTGAGCCCAGCGATATCTTGGCCTTCTGTTCTTTCAGACAATCTCCTTGGTCCTTTTTGATATCTGACCCAATTTAAATCCTTTCTTCCCACTTTTCCTTTCTCCTTTCACCAGTCTTCCCTTCTCATTTTCCTACTCTTTCTGCCTCTCATTCCCCCCTTCTTTCCCCTTTCTATTCTTTCTTTTTAAAAAAAAATTTATTTTGAATTATCAACAATCACTTCCATAAGCTTTTGAGTTTTAAATTTTTCTCCTCTTCTCTTCCGCCTCCCTCCCCAAGACTGTGTGCAATCTGATATAGCCCTTTCTATTCTTTCAAGGCCCTTATAGGGTACCCAATTCATTCTTGCAGTATTCCCAGATCCCCAAGGACTTTGAATCTCTTCCTTGTATCAGTTAGTCAACAAGCCTTTTTTAAAACACATTTTATGTACCAGGCATTATTGTGTTAAGTTTGTCTCATTTATGTACATGTCTTAGTTCTTCTATAGGGCAGAGGCTGTGTCATTTCATTTCTATATTCCCAGTACTTCCCCTTCCCCAATACTCCCTCCCTGCCCTGACTCCCATAGTACCTCACACATAGTAGTTAAGAAATATTTGTTAAGGGGCAGCTAGGTGGCACAGTGGGTAGAGCCCTGGCCTTGGAGTCAGAAGGACCTGAGTTCACATTTGGCCTCAGGCATTTGACACAACACTTACTAGCTATGTGACCCTGGGCAAGTCACTTAATCCTGATTGCCTCACCAAAAAGCAAATATATATATATATATATATATATATATATATATATAATTGTTAAAATAATTTGATGTAGGTGCTTGAGGAGTTTGAACCTCAACTTGTAATTTCTGGGAGCCTTTATAGTTTCTTGTTCTGAGGAATGAGATGATGAAAGCAATATTCCACAAAGTTAAATTTCATAATTTCATGCAGGATGAATTAAAGTTTACCTGAGGCAGAGAAACTGGTTGGTTAGTTATTGTCTTACTCCAGGCATGAAGGTCTGAGAGCCTAAACTAGGTAGGGCATTGGCACCAGAAATAAAGAGGAAGGGACATGTTGAAGGAAAATCAACAAAGATGATGAAGGGAAGGAGAAATCACGGTTGCCTTTCTTTATGGTCTTAAATTGTTAGTGGTAGTACCACTAACAAAATGGAGAATTAGGGAGTGAAGTCAGTTCCAGGGGCTAGGAAGGGGAATTCTAATTTGAAAGATTTTGAATTAGAAAAGGTGTCAGGACATCCAATTGAAAATATCCACTGAAGTCCAAATAATCTCTCCCTCTTAGCCAGAGAGATTTAGATTAGCAAAAAATATATAGAATGATTCCTTGACTGTCACTGTTTCAATCTCCTATTCAGAAGTGCATAGAAATTGTCTTGTATGACTGAGGTACTGTTCAATTATGCCTTTAATTGAGGGGGATGAATGAGATGACTTTTGGAGATGACTCTAAACTCTCCCCCAAATTATGTAAACATCACAGGGTCTCTTACAGGTGTCTTGAAAAGAACTATCCCCCACGACTTCCAACCCTCAGTGTTGTTATCACATTTATGGATGAAGCTCTGTCCATTTTACAACGGACCATTACCAGTATCATCCATAGGACCCCTTCTCACCTGCTGAAAGAACTCATCCTGGTGGATGATTTTAGCTCAAATGGTAAGTGAAAGTTGTCTTTGGAAAGAGCTGGCACTGACTAATTAGAGTTAGCTAACGGAGAATGCTGGGGAGGCAGAATGCTGGTGTGAATGTATGATAGTATCTGCTCATATTGGATTCTTTTTAATGAATTCCCTCCTGTCTATTGGAAGGATCCACTAGTAGCTTGTAGAAGGGAAAGAGTATTGAACTAGTCACTTGCAAGTCAGGATGCCCAAGAAATGAGTGCAAACAGATCAAATTCAACATAATTATAAATGAGTTACACAGATTATTTGATTAACAAACCAATAAACAAAAAAGAGAGGCAGTATGGCCCCTAGATAGTTAGAGATTTTGTCTTAAAGTGAGGAGGACATAGATTCTCATCTCTGACACATAGTGGCTGTGTTACCCTGGGAATGTTGCTTAACTTTTCAATGTTCTAGGTGACTTTTTAGGACCATAGGTTACAGAAAAAGTGTCAAGCCTCACTGGTAGAGAGTTTCCTTAGTAGTCAATTCCTTATACCAATGAAATCACAGGTTTAGTCCCTATTGTTGTTCAGTCATTCAGTCATGTTTGACTCTTTGTGACCCCATGGACCATAGCACACCAGGTCCTTCTGTCCTCCACTATCTCTTGAAGTCTGTCTAAGCTCATGTTCATTGCTACCATTACGTTATCTATCTCACCCTTCTGCTGTCCCCTTCTCCTTTTGTCTTCAATCTTTTCTAGCATCAGAATTTTTTTTCCCAATGAGTATTATTTCCTCATTATGTGGCCAAAGTATTTAAGCTTCAGCTTCAGAATTTGTTCTTTCAGTGAATAGTCAGAATTATGTGCAAGGAACTCTTGAAAGTCTTCTCCAGCACCACAGTTTGAAAGCGTCAATTCTGTGGTGCTCAGCTTCCCTTATAATCCAACTTTCATAGCTATACATTGCTACTGGGAAAACCATAGATTTGACAATATAGACCTTTGCTGGTAGGGTGATGTCTGTTTTTTAGTACTCTGTCCAGATTTGCTATAGCTTTCCTTACTAAAGGCGTGTCTTTTAATTTCATAGCTGCAGTCACCATCTGCAGTGATCTTTGAACACAAGAATCCGATACTGCTTCCATTTCTTCTCTCTTTATTTGTCGTGAAGTGATAATACCAATTGCCAAGATCTTTTTTTTAATGTTAAGCTTCAAGTTAGCTTTTACATTTACATTCTCCTCTTTTACGCTCAAGAAGAGGCTTCTTAATTCCTTTTCACTATCAGTCATCAGAGTGGTATCTTCCGCATATCAGAGATTGTTGATATTTCTCCCAGAAATCTTAATTCTGGCTTTTGATTCATCTAGCCTGGAATTTTACATGATGAACTCTGCATATAAGTTAAATAAATAAGGTGACAACATACAGCCTTGTTATACTCCTTTTCCAACAGATCATGGAATCAAGTTTGGTTTTAACTGTTGCTTCTTGGCCTGCATAGTTCCTCAGGAGACAAGTGACAGGATCTGATACTGTCAACTCTTTGAGGTATTGCCACAACTTTTTGTAATCCACAAGGTCAAAGGCTTTACTCTAGTCAATGAAGCAAAAGTAGACTTTTTTTCTGGAACTCCCTTGCTTTCTCCATAATCCAGCAAATGTTGGCAATTTAGTCTCTCGTTCCTCTGCCTCTTTGAAAACCAGCCTGTACTTCTGGTAATTCTCAATTCACATGGTGCTGAAACTTAGCTTGAAGAGTCTTAAGCATAACCTTGCTGGCATGTGAAATGAGTGCAATTGTTCAGTAATTTGAACACTCTTTGGCATTACCCTTCTTCAGGATTGGGACATAAACTGACTTTTTCCAATCCAGTGGCCGCTGCTGAGTTTTCAAAATTTCCTGGTATACTGAGTGCAACACTTTTAGGATTTTAAATAGTTCAGCTGGAATTCCATCACCTCCACTAGTCTCATTGTTACAATGGTTCCTAAGGCCCACTTGACTTCACTCTCCAGGATTTATGGCTCTCGGTCAGCAACCGTATCATTGAGGTTATCAGTGATGTTAAGATCTTTCTTGTATAGTTCTTCTATATATTTTGCCACCTCTTCTTAATCTCTTCTACTTCTGTTAAGTCCCTACCATTTTTGTCTTTGATCATGGCCATATTTGCCTGAAACATTCCCTTGATACCTCCAATTTTCCTGAAGAGATCTCTTGCCTTTGCCATTTTATTATTCTTTTTTTCATTTCTTTGCATTGTTCATTTAATAAAACCTTATCTCTCCTTGTTATTCTCTGAAATTCTATACTCTTTCCCTTTCTCCTTTCCTTTTTGCTATTTGTAAGGGCTCATCAGACAGTCATTTTGCTTTCATGCTCTTCTCTTTCTTTAGGATTTTTTTTATTGCTTCCTCCTGTACAATATTGTGAACCTCATTCATAGTTCTTCAGGCATGCTATCTACCAAATATAATCCCTTAAGTCTATTCATCACTTCCACCTCATATTAATAAGGGATGTTATTTAAATCATACATATACCGTCTGATGTTTTTTCCTACTTTCTTCAATTTCAGCCTGAATTTTGCAATAAGAAGCTCATGGTCTGAGCCATGGCCAGTCCACTTCTTGTTCTAACTGACTGTGTAGAGCTTCTCCATCTTTGGCTTCCATCACTCTGATTTCAGTATTGACCATGTGTAGAGTCACCTTTTGGGTTATGGAAAAAGCATGTTTTCTATGACTAGCAAGTTATCTTCACAAAACTCTGTTAGTCTCTGCCCTGCTTCATTTTTTACTCCAAGGTCAAACCTGCCTGTTATTCCAATTATTTTTGATGCCTACTTTAGCATTCCAATCCCATATGATGAACGTGACATCTTCTCTGGTGTTACTTCTTGGGTCTTCATAGAACTGATCAACTTTGGCCTCTCCGTTGTCAGTGGTTGCAGTGATTACTGCGATGTTGAACAGTTTGTCTTGGATTTGAACGGATATCATTCTGTCATTTTTGAGATTGTACTCCAGAACTGCTTTTCTCACCTTTTTATTAACTATGAGGGCTACTCCATTTCTTCTAAAGGATTCTTGTACACAATAGTAGATGCAATAACAGCCTAAATTAAATTCCCCTATTCCCATCCATTTAAAATCACTGACACCCAAATTATTGATGTTTAATCTTTCCATCTCCTGTTTGACTACATCCAGCTCACCCTGCTTCATAGATCTTACATTCCAGGTTCCTATGCAATAGTGATTCTTACAGCATCAGACTTTCCTTTAGTCACTAGATATGTCTACAGCTGAGCTTTGATCTAGATTACTTCTGGAGCTATTTGTAGTCATTCTCTACTCTTCCCTAGTAACATGTTGGACACCTTCTGACCTGAGGGGCTTATATTCCAGTGTCATATCTTTTATCATTTTAATACTGCCCATGGGGTTTTCTTGGCAAAGACAGGCAATGGTTCATCATTTCCATCTCTAGTGGATCACTTTTTGTCAGAACTCTCCACTAGGACCTATTGGTCTTGGGTAACCCTGCATGGCATAGCTCATAGGTTCATTGAACTCTTCTACCATGACATGCCATGACAAAGCAGTGATCCAGGAGAGGGGTTTAGTCACTACTCCTAGTAAATTATAAAAAAAAAATAGCTAGGATTTATATAGTGTTTTAAAGTTTGCAAAATTCTTTACCTATTATCTCATTTGATCTTCACAACAGCTCTATGATTATTCCCATTTTACAGATATGTAAACTGAAGCTAAGAGAATTTAAGTGACTTACTTGCCCAAGGTCACAGACCTAGTATGTAGCCAAGGCAGGATTTCAAACTCAGATTTCCTTATTCCAAATCCAATATACTGTCTACTGTACCATCTAGCTGCATCAAAAAAACAAAAACAAAAACAAAACAACCCATAAGTTTTTAAACAATGGCCTATAACTAATCACTGTAGCTTCAGTTCCTCCACTAAGTTATAAAATTCACGAATAGTCTTTAGTTCTGAGTCTCTTAGTGATGCCTCTCATAGATCAGCAATCATTTATGGACCAAAGCCACTTGAAAAGGGGCAATTCCATATCTTAGCTATTGGGATTAACATCCCAAGTTAACCCCAGGGCAGAACTATTGTGGGGCCATGGATTTGACCTCTTCCTTCTGAAATAAGAATGAACAAAGACCTTTCTACTTGGTTACAAGGTGGGAGTTAAGGGGGTGGAGTTGAGTAGGGGAGAGGGTAGCATTATTCAGACCCACCTAACTAAACCCAACCTAAAAGAAGGGGGTGGAGTTACACATGCATACATGTTATTTAGTGGCATGGTATTGTGGGAATTAGCTTGGCTTGCACTATGGAGATTGTATATACATGGTTGCATGATGTATGAAAATATATCATGGTTGCAGAAAATCCTTCACTAGAATTAATATTATTGCATCCAGAAACTCTGTAAGAATTGTTCTTGATTGATAGGGGACCTAAAGGCAGATCTAGACAAAGAGATGCAGCTTTACAACCTCAAGCACCCTGGGCTGCTGACACTGATACATCACACTGAGAGGAAAGGGATAGCCCCTACTCGCCAATCTGGAAGTCAAGCTGCCACAGCGGATGTAGTGGTCTTCTTGGATGCTCATACTGAAGTGAATATTGAGTGGTAAGATACTGTGGGTTTGTCCATATGGGAAAGAGAAGTCATTAGCTGTTACACTTCTTCATGTGCAGGATAGGGTAGAGATGGAAGATAGTATTAAGTTCCTATTATCTCCATTATAAAATGAGGATGATATTCCTTATCCTTTCCCTGGATCAGACTGGAACTTTCTACATGAGAACTTCTGGGCTTGTCTTGGAATCACCCTTGAATTAAGAATACTGCTCGGAGAAAGGATTTTGGATTATAGCTACCCTGCCTCCAACTAATAACTTGTATCATTAAGCAATGGATGGTACGACCTTTGTCTAGCTGAACCTCCTGAATACACTGAATAAACAGATAATATTTCCCAAGAGCAGGAAAAAAAACTAATAAGGACTTGATATTATGTGGTTTTAGAAGAAATTTCTAGCTGAGTGCAAATGATAAAAAATGACTTCTGTGAATTAAAAACATATTTTTTAACATAAAGACAGACATACCAGTATTCCTGAAAAGACAATGGAGATAGATTATCAACAGATAATCTAAGCTGAGTCTCCCATACAGGTATATATGTACCCTTTGGTTAAAGGGGAGAGCAGAAGATTGTTGTGGTCAGTCCAGGGGCTGCTCTGCCCCGAGGAGGAGAGAGTGAAAGAAGAGAGCCAGCCAAGAAAGAGTTGAGAGGGTGTGGAAAGGACTGTGTGTCCTTAGTCTTACTCTTTTGGGGGGGGGGGTCTAGTAGGGTAACATGTAAGTACCTTCCTCCTTACTTGCCCTCTAACTTGCAACTTCAGCACCCCTTAAGGGTTGGAGACAATATCTGCATTCCAGTCTCTGTCTGATAGTGTTGGACTTTTTAAAAAGGATAACTCAGTTTTGCATCAAAGATATCCAATCCTGTTAATGATAGAAAACCACCTCCTCAATCCATCCATGTAAGATCATAGACTTAGAGTGGAAGGGACCTTGGAAGCCAGTGATCCCAAGCTTCTCATTTTACAGATGAGGAAACTGAAGTTGAGAGATTAAGTGACTTACCCAGGGTCACACAGATAGTAAGTATGCAAAGTGGGATTTGAAGCTGTTTCTTCCTGAATATAAGTCCAACATTCAATTCACTTTTCCACATCTGTTCCACAAGTGCTTTTCCAAAGTCTGTTGTTTTTTCTGAGTCTGAATTGGAGAGGGGTAAATCACATGTATTTTACCTCAAGTAGCTAGAATATAGCTATTTGATGGTTGATAACTAAGAGATTACCAGTGATAGCCAAAAAGGAAAATGCCTCACACTTGAGATGATTTGATTTAGAATTCATCATGAGCTTCATGGGAATCCCCAATGTTGTGGCAGAAGGATCTTCAGGCGTTCCTTGGTCCTGATCCAAACTTTTGCCTTAAGGACCTCAGAAGTTCCCGAGTGTCCTCTGTGTATTGGCAGCCTAGATAACCTGGCTCACTACCCAGCAGGTAGTGGCAGGGGAAAGTACAAAAGTGGGAACTTAGGATGTCTCTTATACACTTTACTACACCTTGCTGACATTTCCCATATAATATAAACTGTCTTTCTTATATTGCTAGAGCAGAACCCATCTTATCTAGGATCCAGGAAGACCACAGTGTAATTGTGTCACCTATAATCGACAACATTCTTTTTGATACCTTGGAAGTGGAAGAGTATCCATTGATGTCCATTGGGTTTAACTGGAGACTGTATGGCTGTTATGACTATCAGTCAGTCAGCCTGAAAGATGACATTGTACCAATAAAGTAAGTCTGGAGAGTTTGCAAAAGGAAAGTGTTCTCTGAGAGGCAGAAATGCTAAGGTTGGGTTTGGGTTTTCTTTCTCATCACCTAAGTGTTTGTCCATTGAGACAAATGTATACAGTGAACCACCAATGCCCCTCCAGTTATATGGGACCTTCAAGATCACTTATAATCCCACTCACTGAACTTGGGCAGGACTAACCTTAAATTATTCTATTTTGCTTTTAAATGTCTCCAAGATATTGATTTTCTGCTCAGATTTTCCTAACCTCCTCCTATCCCTGCCTTGTTTCCCACACCTCACACCTAAACCCCAACCTTCCCACTCCTTAACAGAGAAGCTAGTGACTCTTCGATTATGTGTTCATGGAGGAGTCCTGCCATCAGGGGCATCTTTGCTGCCAGCAGATTGTTTTTGGAGAAGATTGGGTTCCTGGATACTGGGATGCTGTTTTATGGAGGAGAAAATGTAGAATTGAGCCTGAGGGTATATTTCTACTGTTCTTTCAGTTTCTGTTGTAACTGCAGTTCAAAAAGGATCAGACTGTGATTTGATTTTCTCAAACAGCATTCTATAATATGCATTAAGCTGGAGTTTTGGGTAATCTATTTCATTAGCATATTTTTCTATTTTTAATTAAGCATTAGATAGTTTTGATAGTTATTATTGTATGGTATTTAAGTTTTGGCTCTCCAAGTCTCCCTTTTTCCCTTTCATTATACTGTAGTGTTTTTGGTTTTTCCATATTCATTTTGTTATTTCATCTAGTTTTATAAATTATACCACTGGCAACCTGCTAACCCAGCATCTTGTGTATTGTAGGCACTTAAATGTTTGTTGAATTGAATTTAGGATCAAAGTGTCATAGAATGAAATCTGAAAGGAATTTTAGAGGTCATCTCGTTAAGGTCTGGAGATGTTAAGTGACCATCAAATGTGGAAATGAAGATGAGAGAGTTTGGAGATGGAGTTTAGAATCACTTGGTGGCAAGACCTTTTTCTAGAACTAGGAAGGACAAATTCCATATTGTCAGGCCCCTAATCATCTTTTAATTTCATGGCTGCAGTTGCTGTCAAATGATATTTGAGCCCAAGAATAAAAAATCTGATGCTGCTTCCATTTCTTCTCCCTCTATTTTCTAGGAAACGATAGGAACAGTTGCCAAGACCTCAGAGTTTTTTTTGTTTTTTTTTAATGTTAAGCTTCAAGCCAGCTTTTATACTCTCCTTTCACCCTTATCAAGAGACTTCTTAATTCCTCTTCACTTTCTGCTATCAGAATGGTATTATCTGCATATCTGAGATTGTTGATATTTCTCCTGGCCACCTTTTGATTCATCTAGTTTGGCATTTTACATGATGTACTCTGCATATAAGTTAAATAAATAAGGTGACAATATACAGCCTTGTCATACTCTTTTTCAAATCTTAAACCAATCAGTTGTTTCATATTCAGCCTGCATACACGTCTCCTCAGGAGACAAGTGAGATGATCTGATATTCCTATCTCTTTGAGGACTTGACACATTTTGTTGTAATTCACACAGTCAAAAGCTTTAATGTAATCAGTGAAGCAGAAGTAGATGTTTTTCAGGAACTCCCTTACTTTCTCTATAATCCAGCTGATGTTGGCAATTTGGTCTCCAGTTCCTCTGCCTCTTTGAAAACTGGCCTGCACTTCTGGTAATTCTAAGTTCACATAGTGCTGAAGCTTAGCTTGCAGAATCTTAAGCACAACCTTGCTGGTCTGTAAAATGACTTCAATTGTTTGATAGTTTGAACATTTTTGGCATTACCCTTCTTTAGGATTAGAATATAAACTTATCTTTTCTAATCCAATGGCCATTGTTGAGTTTCCCAAATTTCCTGGTATATTGTGTGCAACACTTTAACAGCATCATCTTTTAGGATTTTAAATAGTTTAGCTGGAATTCCATCGCCTCCACTAGCCTCATTGTTAGCAATGCTTCTTAAGGCCCACTTGACTTTATTCTCTGGGACTTACGACTTTAGATCAGTAACCACACAATTGTGGTTATCAGTGATGTTAAGATCTTTCTTGTATAGTTCTTTTGTGTATTCTTGCCACCTCTTCTTAATCTCTTTTGTTAAGTCCTCACCATTTTGGCCTTTTATCATGCCCATTTTTGCATGAAAATTTCCCTTGATATCTCTAATTTTCCTGAGGAGATCTCTTATCTTTCCCACTCTATTGTTTTCTTCTATTTCTTTGCATTATTCATTTAAGAAAATCTTATCTCTACTTAGCATGCTCTGGAATACTGCATTCAGTTGGGTATATCTTTCCTTTTCTTCTTTCCTCAGCTATTTGTAAAGCCTCATTAGACAGCCATTTTGCTTTCTTGCTCTTCTTTTTCTATGGGATATTTTTTGTTGCTGCCTCCTGTACAATATTGTGAACCTCTGTCTCTAGCTCTTGAGGCACTCTGTCTACCAAATCTAATCCCTTAAATCTATTCATCATTTCCATTTTGTATTCATTCCTTATGAATGTGGTTGACATACCTATACAGTCTGATGGTTTTTCCTACTTCAATTTAAGTCTAAATTTTACAATAAGAGGCTCAGGAATAAAGAGGAAACTTTTCTTCCTCTTTTCCCTGCACACCCTGTTTTCTTGATCCAGAATTTAATCTGTTGTTCTCTCCCTTGTTTGTTTGAGAGAGTTCCTACAGAGTTTGGGTACACTTCCCTAGAGATGTGTGTGTGTGTGTGTGTGATTACATTGGCATATGTTCAAAAGGACTAGCATTGCTAGTGCCCTTTACAATCATCTCACGCGACACACTGATTGCCAGTACCTTATGATATCAGTTTCTAGACTAGGATTTACAAGAAAAAATAGGTAAGAATTGCATGGGATGAAAAGGTGTGGGTCAGGTAAAATCAGTACCATTGGCAGGAGGTTCCACATGGATATGATTAGTCTACAGGTCAAGCATAAAGGCATACCTGCAAGGGAAGGCAAGAAGAATGGTTATTTGAGTAAGCCAGTACAGAGCCATTTCTCTATCATCTCTTAGACACTTTCTCAGTAAGCTATGGGATAACTCGTACTTTTTGTATTTTTTTCTGGTACTGAAAAGGGTCAACAGGGATCTCATCTCTAATCAATGGGGAAAAGTTTCCTGCAAGAGATGAGACTTCATGAGTTGGGTGAAAGATGGGGAAAAGATTTGTAGGACAGGTTGTTCCAGAAAAGCATCGCAAGAGAAGGTTCAAAAGTAGAACTTGAATGAAAACATATTTAAAACTAAATGGTACTTAAATGTAATCTTGTGAGGAACAATATATTTTGCAATTTACCAGCCATTACATGGATACATGGTTCTTTTTTTGCATGCAGGCATGGCAGTGTGGAGGGAGAATTGAGATCTTACCATGTTCTTGGATTGCTCATCTTCAACGAGCCCATAAACCCTATTCTCTGATTATCTTACCCCTCATGAAACGCAATGCTCTTCGTGTGGCTGAAATCTGGATGGACAAGTACAAATACATGGTCTATTTAGCTTGGAATCTGCCTCTAGAGGTTTGTAGTGGAATTCAAGATAAGTAGGGAAAAGCAGAGTGGTGGGGAGAATGGAAGGACATAAAGACTTACGGGAGATACTCCCCCTCCCAGAGAGCCATCCCATAGAACAATGGATTTCACATTTATGTGTGACAAGGTACGAACCCTGAGCCATCCCCGGGGTTATTAGGCAAGCCCTCTCTTCTCATGGATGACATCATGAAGGAGGTCAGAAATTCAGGGCTCTGAGCATATATACTCATGGAATATATTCTGCCATTTGCCATTATGATCTGGTCACTAGTATATGTGCCTAGCTAGTTCACTTCAAGAATTATACTGTCCAGCTGCCTGGTATCTGTATTTGTATTTGAAGCAAGCTGCTGCTGGCCACTGGTCATATTCAGAAGTGTGTGTATCAGTCATCTAATGGGCTTAACCTGCTTGCTCTAAGGCCATTCATCATATTCAGAGTACCATGAAGTTAAAAATTCCTTGATGAAGAAGAAGAATTTGGAATGGGATCTGATAGCAGGGAAAATTGAAATTGATAGGAGAGCTAGAAATTATAATAAATATCTGGGAATTTTGCGGTAAGTTAACATTTTTAAGGAACATATTTTAAAGTGCCCTGCTTCAACTGAATTTTACTCTTTATTCAAAATCCCTTACATAGCCTAAGATATTGGTAATAGATTATAATTATTATATTGTTTGTTATTGTTTAGTTATTTCAGTCATGTCTGAGTCTTCACGACCCCATTTGGGGTTTTCTGAGCAAAGATACTGGATGGAATGGTTTGCCATTTCCTTCTCCAGCTCATTTTATAGATGAGGAAACTGAGGCAAACAGGGTTAAGTGACTTGCCTAGGGTCACACAGTTAGTAAGTGTCTGAGGCCAAATTTGAACTCAGAAAGATGAGTCTTTCCGATTCCAGCTCTGACACTTTGTCTACTGTGCCACCTGACTGCCAGAATATTGTTTAAAAATCATTTATTCAGTTACCCCAGGAAACATTGGCACAATGGGAAAGCAGTATACTTTCCTCCATGGGAGGATCCTTTTTTTCTCCATCTCCAGTAGGTGGAGCGGAGGGATGTCTTAATGTTTTTGTCTATCATGGACCCCTTTGGCCATCTTGTGAAGCCTATGGACTCCTCAGAATAGTGTTTTTAAAACCATAAATAAAATACACAAGATAACAAAGGTAATATATTGTTTTAAATCTTTGTACAAAATATAACCCCCCCCATAAATTCATGGACCCTCCTACTCTATAGAGACCCAATTTTCAAGAATGGTCACATTCAGAAATTCACATATGAGAAGGTGGAATGAATTTCATTACGTAACTAATGATATTCAGCTTTAAAAACAATTACTGATTGATTTCATATTGGTAATAGGATACATGCTGATTGCCAGTTTAAACAACTAGTTTTTATGGATGTCTTCTTTCTATAGTTTTCTCCAGCATCCTTTCCTTCCCTCTCCCAAAGAGCCATCCCACATAATAAATATAAATTTTTTAGGAACAAAAAAAGAAAAAAAGAAGAAAAAATGAGCATAACTGATCAATACACTGGAAAAGTCTGGTAATATGTGCAAATGAGCAACCCTTTTGGAACTCCCTTCTTCGCAAAGGAATGAGAATATCTTCTCATATCTCTTCTTTCAATCTATACATGTTCTTTATAATTTTGCAGCATTTACCTTTCATTTTTCATGGTTATTCTTTCAACTGACGTTGTTTTCTTGGCTCTGATTTCCTTGTTTTGCATCATTTCATGTAGATCTTTCCATGCTTTTCTGTATTCATCCTATTTGCCATTTCCGATAGCGTAGTTATATCCCATTACATTCATGTACCACAGTTTCTTTAGCCATTCCCCAATCAATGGGCATAGAAATGGTCATTTACAAAAGGCTAATAATAAATGGGTGCTTAGGCTGTTCTGACTGACTACTTGATGTGTGCTTGCTAATTTGCGAAAAAGTAAACTTAGCTAAGCATCTGAACTAGTTTACATGTAGCCCGGAAATTCCATGTTGAATTTCTTGGCTCCACAGTCATGCTTTGCTTTCTTACCCCTTTATGATGTCCAAGAAGATTGAATTGACTTGGCCATAAAATAGTATCAATCCATTCATCCATCCATAAAAAGGCATTTATCATGTACTTATAAGTGAAGGTAAAGATAAACTAGGCACTGTGCTAAGCGTAGAGGATACAAGTAAAAACAGTCCCCATGCTGAGGAGGCTTACATTTTAACAGAGAAGATGACATGCACATAAAAAACCTAAATATGCAGTACAAATGCAGAGTACATAGAAGATAAGCTTAGAGGGAAAGTCATTAGCAACTGAGGTGGAAAGGGAACCAGGAAAGCCCTCCTGCAGAAGGTAGCATTTGAACTGAATATAGAAGGAAGTCAGGGCTTCTAGAAGGAGGTGAGGAAAGAGAGGATTACAGGAATGGGGGACAGCTAGTAAAAAGGCATGGAAATGGAAGGAACATCAGATAGACCAGTCTAAAAATAACTGAATTGTAGAGTATGAGAAGGAGCAGAAAGTGTAAGAAGACTTGAAAGATAAGGAAGGACCAAGTTGTGGAGAACTTTAAATGCCAAACAGAAGTTTATACTTGATCCTTGAGGTAATTGAAGGGTTTTATGTGTGTGTGTGTGCATGTGTGTGTGATACGGTCCTATCTGTGCTTTAGGAAAAATCACTATACTTTGCATGGATTAGACGGTGAAGAGACTTGAGGCAGGGAAGCCAATTATTAGATTATTTCAGTAGTTCAAATGATAAGGGCCTGAATTATGGGGGAACAGAATGAGTGGAGAGAAGGGGACAGAGCTGGGAGATATTGTGGAGAAAGAAAGAAGATTTGATAATGAATTTGATTTGTGGGGTTGATTGAGAGTGGGGGTGAGGAGTTGAGGATGACACTGAAATTGCCAGCCTGGGTAACTTGGATGATGGTGCCCTTGACAGCAGTACGGAAGTTCAGGAGAGGGATGGGTTGGGTGGGAAAGATACTGAGTTCTGTTTTGGACATGTTGAGTTTGAGATGCCTTTGGGACATCTAATGCCTAATGTGAAATATCTAATATGTAGTTGTGAAGTTCCAGTAAAGGAGATTGAGAAAGACCAAACTGATAAGAGAAGAACTGAAAGGGAGCAGTGTTGTAAAAACAAAACAAAATAAACAAACAAAAAGCTAGAGAAGAGAGAACATCCAGAAGGAGAAGTTACCAGCTTCAGAGGTGTCAAGAAGGTTGTGTTTGTGACATAGGAGTGAAAGAGGAGTTAGTGGAGGAAGACATCTGAAGGATATGAGTTAAAGATAAGGAGGAAAGAGAAAGTTCTCAGTAAAACTTTAGAATTGTGTGTGTGTGTGTGTGTGTGTGTCTGTGTGTGTGTGTGTATGAATATGAAGTAAAGCCTTCATCTAAGAAAGAGAGAAGAGGAGTGCCAAGGAAGATGTGAGGTGGGGAACAAATAGTTGGAATTGTTGTTATGGGATGGTGAATCAATTAGGGAGGAGCAGAAGGATTGCCTAACTGCAGTGAGGGTCCAGTTAAGATTAGCTAATACAAGTTAGATAACAAATAGTGGGCCAGTCAGCAATTTCCCTTTCCCAGCTCCATTCAGGGGCACATGAATAGGAAAAGGAGGCAAATGGTAAGAGTAATCCAAACTTGAGTGTTGGCAAGGCAACAGAACAAGGGAACAAGAGATGGGATTTGAGAGCGGAGGATAACATAAAGTTGAAATGGTTCCTAGAGATTAGGAAGAGAGAAGAGTATAATTGGAGCAAGAGTGATAGCCTGGGAAAGTGCTGAGGGATGGAAGGATTGGAAGTCATGGTTAAAACGAAGAATAGGATTAAGAATAGAAAAACCTAGAGAGAGCTATAATGATAAAAAATTACGAATACTGGATAGAAAATTATGAATACATAAAAAGTATGAATATTGGAGTTCTTAAATATGGAAGTAGAACATGTAGGCGCTGGCAAGATTAAAAGTGTGTTGTGTAGCAGAGGGGGAGTGGAAGTATCAGTTATGAAATGATTGAAGAAATAGCAAATTGTACACAATAGATTTGCAGTTTCACCTGCCGTCATCTTTTTTTTTATTATAATATGTTATGGAAATACTTGTTTTTTTCCATAAATTAAAAATGAAATAAATTAAAACTATTTGAGTGAACGTCAACCTGTATATTGAAATCCCCTAGTATGAGAGCAGGAGTTGGGGTAGAGAGGAAGACAATAAAACAGGCACTAAATTCAATAAGAAAGGAGGAGCATATCCTGGAGGTCCATTGAAAATGGCCACCAAGATCTAGATTCAGGGATAAATTTGGAGAAAACCTCCAAAAAGAAGAGCTTGCTAAGTGATGGCAGTAGACACAGAGAGAGTCTGGAAATGACAATGAGAAGTGAAGGATATTCTGTTTCCCCCTACTGACTGGGATAACCTTTACTGGAAAGGATGGCCAAGGATGCTGCATCATCTGGGAGGATTCAGATCTTAATGAGTACCAGAAGATGGAAAGAGGAAAAGAGGAAAAGAGGAAAAGGTTTAAATGAAAAACAAAATTTGTTCATTGTAAATCTGGAATCCAGGATAAACTAGTTGCCTTTTTTTAAACATGTGAGCAATATTGACTCTAATCTTATTTAATCTTGAATGAAATCCTGACCATTTCTTGTGGAGTGACCTGTAGAAAAACAGGCCTTTTCATTAGTTTAGAGCCACGAAACCTTATGGGCAACATAGAATGATCTCTACACGGCAGATCTAGCAAATATCCATGTCAAGTGAGTTGACAGATTTTGAGAGCTCAAGCTACTGCTGCTCCCCTCTCTCCAGGAAAACTCCAGAATGTGAAGGTTGCCCACACATCCCTGTACAAATACTCATTTGCCCTCAGGAGTGATCATTAATCTTGACAGTGGTCAAGAGGTTATGTATTTGGAGGCACAAGTAGATCCCTGAAACATATTGTTTCTTTGCAGAATCATGGAATAGACTTTGGAGAGGTGTCTTCCAGGATAGAACTCCGCAAGAAACTGAAGTGTAATAGTTTTGAGTGGTACCTCAGAAATATTTATCCAAATCTGATGCCACTTCAGAACATTGTTGGCTATGGAGCTGTGAGTACACAAGGTCCCCAATATACTTTCTTCCTGGGATCCTCTGTCATTTAATTTTTTTCATGATCCACTTTCTTGAGTTTCTTCTCAATTTTTATCACTCTTTTGCCCCCATAACCAGGATTTCCTTCATTTCATAAGAATACCACGCTCATGCATTTTGCCTCATATTTTTACCCTAGACCCCACTTTTTTCTTTTCAATGTCTCAACTGACCAGGCTATTTGTTTAAGAAATACCAATCATCTGGCTTTAAGCATATGTATCTTCCCAAGAATACCTTTAGGGGCTGGTGCTGGGGACAGGTCACTGTTCCCAAGATATGGGAGCCCCAACCAGTGCCACTCTGTTACCTCCTTGTCTCTTTCTCAATAGCTAGAAAATTGTTTCTGGATCCCCACATCTTTGATTACTTTTTAGCTATACTTCATCTTGTGATACTCAACAGTATGAGAAGGCAAACCCTTGACAGATATTATGCACTTCCTTCCTCTGTCTATACTCACCATAAGTGGCATATTTTATTCCTACAGATGAAAAATTCTGTGAATGAAAAGATCTGCATGGACCAGGGAAACATCCAAGGAAACATACCAGCCATGTATAATTGCAATGGGTTCAGACAACAGGTATTCTTCATAGATGGGCATCTCACTACTGGTTGTAACCTATAGCTATGGCTGAGCCATAGCTCAATCCCTTGTAAGTGTTACTGGGTTATTGGGGTTCAGGAGATCTGGAGTTTGGTTTTGGGGGAACATTCAGGGTGAAGGAAATCAATCAATTGGTAAGTATTTATTGTGTCATAATATATATGTATATATACATGTGTGTATACATATACATATAGATATACGTATACATGTATGTGTGTGTATATATATACACACACACACATACTTATATATATAAGTATATATGTGTGTGTATATATATACGTTTACATACACACACACACACACACACACACACACACACACACACACACACATATATATATATATACACACACAAGACAGGTCCTGGGCTAGGTACTGGGGATATAAACATAAAAGTGAGTCAGTTCCTGCCCTCAAGGAGTTTACATGCTACTTGGGAGAGTACAGCAAATGTCAGAAAGTAGCAGTCAGGGAAGGGAGCATTAGTCTAGTCAGTCATAGGCACTATGAGTGGAACTATAGTACAATAGATTATGATCCTCTTTTGAGTGGCAGTGGTAATATTGATTGGATTGTTGTTCCCTAAACAAGAGATGAAAAGTGAGGGAGGGGACAGTATATGTGTACCAATAGGACATATGGTAAAATGTCCATGCTGGCATCTTTTATATCTAGGTGTTTGAGTGTATGGGATGGAGCTTTGTCTGGGGCCAGCAAAATATTACAAATTGATATAAGCATTGATTCAGCCTCAAATCTGGTTCTCTTCTGCCCCAGAGTGAGTTTTAAAGCTCAATATCTGTACTTTAAAAGTAGTGCTTTGTACAAAATAGGCACTTAACAAATGCTTAGTAAATAAAAGAAGCCCCTCTCTAGATTCTCTCAAGAAATGACAGAATGATTTTTTATAGTATTTTATTTTTGCCCCAGTTACATATCAAGAAAATTTTTTAACATTCATTTTTATAAGATTTTGAGTTCCAAATTTTTCTCCCTCCCTCCCCTCTTCTAAAAATGGCAGGCAGTTTGATATAATTTATACATGTACTATCATATGAAAATATTTCCATATTAGTCAGTTGTGACTAACCCACAAGAAAGAATAAAGTAAGTGAAAAAAATGCTTCTGTCTGCATTCAGAGTCCAGTTCTTTATCTGGATACGGATAGCATTTTCATTCATGAGTCCTTTGTACTAGTCTTGGATTGTGGTGTTGCTTAGAAGAGCTGAGTCATTCACAGTTGATCATCACACAGTGTTGCTGATATGGTGTACAATGTTTACCTGGTTGTATTCATTTCACTTTGCATCAATTTGTACAAGTCTTTCCAGAATTTTCTGAAATCTGCCTTTTCATCATTTCTTATTACACAAATTCCATTACATTCATATACCACAGCTTGTTCAGCCATTCCCCAATTGATGGGCAGTCTCTCAATTTCCAATATTTTGCCGCCATGAAAAGGGCTGCTTTAAATATTTTTGCACGCGTAAGTCTTTCTCCCTTTTTTGTGATCTCTTTGGGATACAGACCTGGTGGTGGTATTGCTGGATCAAAGGGTATGCACAGTTTGGTTGCCCTTTGGGCATAGTTCCAAATTACTCTCCAGATGGTTGGATCCACAACTCCACCAACAGTATATCAGTGTCCCAATTTTTTCATATCCTCTCCAATATTTGTCATATTTTTTTTGTCATATTAGCTAATCTGACAGGTGTGAGGTGGTATCTCAGATTTGTTTTAATTTGCATTTCTCTAATCAAAAGTACTTTAGATCACTTCCTCATAGGCTTATATATAGCTCTGATTTCTTCATCTGAAACTATCTGTTCATATACTTTGACCATTTATCAATTGGGGAATGACTTGTATTTTTATAAATTTGGCTCAATTCTCTATATATTTGAGAAATAAGGTCTTTATCAGAGACACTTGCTGAAAAGATTGTTTCCCAGCTTTCTACTTCCTTGCTAATATTGGTTGCATTTGTTTTATTTGTACAAAAGCTTTTAAATTTACTATAATCAAAATTATATATTTTACATTTTGTAATGCTTTCTATTTCTTGTTTGGCCATGAATTCTTCTCCTCCCCATAGTTCTGATGGTAGACTATTCCTTGCTCTTCTAATTTGCTTATGGTGTCATCTTTACATCTAAACCATTTTGACCTTATCTTGGTATAAAGTGTGAGATGTTGGTCTATACCCAGTTTATGTCTTATTGTTTTCCAGCTTTCCCAACAGTTTTTGTCAAATAGTGAGTTCTTGTCCCAAAAGCTGGGGTCTTTGGATTTATAAAACACTAGTTTACTATGGTCATTGACTATTGTATCTTGTGTACCTAATCTATTCCACTGATCTACCACTCTATTTCTTAGCCAGTACCAGATAGTTTTGATGACTACTGCTTTATAATATAGTTGGAGATCTGGTTTTGCTAGGCTACTTCCTTTTCATTTTTTTTCATTAACTCACTTAATATTCTTGGCCTTTTGTTCTTCCAGATGAATTTTGTTGTTATTTTTTCTAGCTCTGTAAAAATTTTTTTTGGTAGTTTGATTGGTATGGCACTGAATAGATAAATTAGTTTAGGCAAAATTGTTATTTTTATTATATTGGCTCAGCCTACCCATGAGAAATTGATATTTTCCAAATTATTTAGATCTGACTTTGTGTGAAAAGTGTTTTGTAATAGTGTTCATGTAGTTGATATATATTTGATTTTTTGTGTTTGATATTTGACATTTGATAATTGTGTTCGTATTGGATTTGTCTTGGCTGGTAGATTCCTAAGTATTTTATATTGCTTTCAGTTATTTTAAGTGGAATTTCTCTTTCTATCTCTCGCTGCTGGGCTTTATTGGTCATATAAAGAAATGCTGATGATTTATGTGGGTTTATCTTATATCCTGCAACTTTGCTACAGTTGTTAATCATTTCAAGTACTTTTTTTGGTTGATGCTCTAAGGTTCTCTAAGTGTACCATCATATCATTTACAAAGAGTTTTGTTTCCTCATTATCTATTCTAATTCCTTCAATTTCTTTTTCTTCTCTTATTGCTATAGCTAACATTTCTAGTACTATGTTGAATAATAATGGTGATAATGGGCATCCTTGCTTCACCCCTGATCTTATTGGGAAAGTTGCTAGCTTATGTTCATTCCAGATAATGCTTGCTGATAGTTTTAGATTGATGCTGCTTATCATTTTAAGGAATAATCTCTTTATTCCTATGTTCTCTAGTGTTTTTAATAAGAATGGTTACTGTATTTTGTCAAAAGCTTTTCAGCATCTATTGAGATAATGATAGGTTTTCTATTGTTTTTGTTATTGATATGGTCAATTATATTGGCAGTTTTCCTAATGTTGAACCAACTCTGCATTCCTGGTATAAATCCCACCAGGTCATAGTGTATAATCCTTGTGATATATTGCTGTAATTGCCTTGTGAGTATTTTGTTCAAAATTTTTGCATTGATATTGATTAGGGAAATTGGTCTATAATTTCCTGTCTCTGTTTTAGCTCTTCCTAGTTTAGGTATCAGCACCATGTTTGTGTAAAAGGAATTTGGTAGGGCTCTTTCTTCATCTATTTTTTGAAATAGTTTATATAGTATTGGAATTAATTGTTCTTTAAATATTTGGTAGAATTCACTCTGCAACCCATCTGGCCTTGGGGATTTTTTCCTAGGGAGTTCATTAATGGCTTGTTCAATTTCTTTTTCTAAGATGAGGTTATTTAGGCATTTTATTTCCAGATCTGTTAATCTAGGTAATTTATATTTTTGTAAATATTCATCCATTTTGCTCATGCTTATTGGCATACAATTGGGCAAAAATATTTCCTAATGGTTGCTTTAATTTCTTCTTCATTGGTGGTGATTTCGCCCTTTTCATATTTGATATTGGATATTTGGTTTTCTTCTTTCTTTCTTTTTTTAAATCAAATTAAGTGATGGCTTATTTATCTTGGTTTTTTTTCCCCCATAAAATTGGCTCCTAGATTTTGGTGCTCGTTTGGGAATTTTTAATTCATTCTTTTTCTAGTTTTTTTAAGTTGCTTGCCCAATTCGTTGATCTGTTCTTTTCAATTTTGTTGATATAAGAACTTAGAGAAATAAAATTTCCCCTAAGTACTGCTTTGACTGCATCCCTGGAGAATGCCTGTTTTCCTTGGGCTGTGCTGAAGCACTTGGAGATCCGGCTGCTGGAGGGTGCCTGCCCACCTGAGGCAATGCTAAAACACATGGAGGTCTGGCTTATTTTCTTGTCTCACTGTTTCCCAGGGACTAGGTGGTGGTTCCTGGAGCTGGTGTCTGCTGGTTCCTCTGGCTATGCTAAGGCACATAGGGGAAGGGAGTCCTGGTGTTGATGTTTGCCTGCACCTCCACACTAGGGCTCAGGATCTCCCACTGGTTTGCTCAGGTGCTTCCTGTTCTGGACTGTGTTCATCTTTTACCTGAATGAGATGGACCTTTATTGCCAATCCTCCAACCTAGACTAAAAGACTGCTCCACCCCATCTTTCTGCTGGTGCTGCTGTTCCAGGATTTGTTCTGGGGTTCTATTTTATGATTGTTTGGAGATGAATATTGGAGAGCTACAGTAATTTGCTGCTTTTTCCTGTCATGGCTCCCAGAAATCCATCCCATAGAATGATTTTGTCAGGTCCATGGTGGAATGAAATGTGAACTAAAGGTTAGTGGCAATGACTCCATGTCAGTGAAATATGAAAATATAGGGGAGTGAAGTTGGAACAAGCTGGGGTAGCCAATTGGGCCAGTAACTTGGCCAGTTCTCTCCTCAGACTCCTCATCTCTTCATCCAATCAATGTAAGTACTAGCATTCAACATTAGTCACATTTCACTTTCCCTATATCATTACAGTGGTTGCCATCTAGATATCTATGAATTCATCCAAATCCTTTCTTCTCCTCTTGTCAATTCCTTATACTTCTCACTCCTATTTCTCCTTCTTCCTTCTTGCCTTCCGTAAGAGGTGGGAAGATGAAGTCAAGTCCTTTCTGTCTAGAGAAGCATACAGGCCAAGAGAAGTGAGAAAGCAAGAATGTGAGTGTGAGCACAAGGTTTCCAAAGAGATTGAAAGGGTGCAAATCAAGAACACAGATGGAAGGAGTTATCAAAGTTGAAGTCATGTAGCTAGGACCTCATGCTCAGATCTCTATACTTCCAATTTCATCATGTTTAGCTTAAGGAATATTTTATTCTTTCCTATTAGAGTTGTTGGAACTCTGGTGTAGTAAGAAGGCTCAGACCCCTTTCACAGGTTTACTCTTTTCTGGGGGAATCAGCTGGGACTCAATGGTATAAAGTAGACTGTGAAAGGAGCCCAGGATGGAATGGGCAAATGCATTGTAGTTCCCTAAGAGTAACCACTGAATCATTTATCCAGATTGGGTGCATTTTATTGAAGGGTAAATGTCTAGTAGTATCTATCCTCTGTTTCTTTTCAGTTTATATACTACCACTTAACTGGAGAACTCTATGTTGGACAGCTATACGCAGAAACGTATTCAAGTGATCTATGCCTGGCAGACCCTGGAGAAGGATGGAGGCCAGAATTAGTGGCATGCCAAAAAGCAACAGTGAAAAAGTTGAACATGTATTGGGATTTTAAGCAGGTAATTCGTTTTACTGATGAGGACACTGAGGCAAACAGGGTTACATGACTTGCCCGGAGTCACACATCTAGTAAGTGTTGGAGGCCAGACTCAGAAAGATGAGTCTCCCTGACTCCAGGCCTGGTGCTCTATCCACTGTGCCACCTAGCTGCCCCAGTTGCCTAAGTATAGATAAATTTAATCCAACAAACAAATTGTACACTATTTAGTGCTCCCTTCTCAAGTATTTTAGCCCCTAGCTCACTATTTTCCTCTCTTCTCCAACTCCTGACCTTATACTAAAGGATTCCAATATTTATGTTGATGCTCTTTGAAACTCCCTAACCTCCCAGTTCCTCAGTCTCTCCAAATCCTATGACCTGTTCTTATGCTCCACCTCAAATACACAGATAAGCACATCTTGGATCTCAATTACTCACACGTGTTCCAATAATTTGGACAATTCTTTGAACAAAAACTCTGACATTTCTCCATTCTCTCCATTCTATCTCTCCCTGTGCTTCACTCTCCTAAACCTGATCAGCACTTTTATTGGTGATTTCACAACCTTCCATCTCTATCCTGACTTCACATTCTTCTCTGTCCCCTAATCTTGACCCAAAAGTGAACCAATTCAAAATCCACACTGTCCTATATTCTTGAATCTCTTGCCCGCCTGTACTATTGCTTCTTATCTGTTGCCAAACCCGAGCCCTGGATTTCTCTGAGCGTCTGTCTTCTCCATCTGTGTAGCTAAATGGAGATGGAAGAAGTAAAAACAAACAAAACAAAACAAAACAAAACCCAACTATGCTGATTGCATCAACTTCATTTATGCTAACTTCAATCAGGCAACACCAAACTGCAGAAAGGCAACCTTTTTATTTCTCCCTAATTTATTCCCTGTATCACTCTACACAGAAGTTATTCAAAACCTTTTCTTCTTTCCTCAAATCTCCCCCCACTTCCTCAATCCTTGTTTTTTCATGTAAGGACTGTATCTTTTACTTTTGTAAGGGGGCACCCCTTCCAAATGTGGACCTACCTGCTGCATTTGACAAAGAACTCTTTTCTTTTCAATCTATACTTTCTCATCATTTCCCATAAGTTTAATTATCATCTCTGTATAGATGACTCACAGATCTATCTGTAAAACTCTAGTCTTTCTTCATTCCCACATCACTGGCTGTCTGTTGGATATCTCAGAAGAGATATCCTCTCAATATCTCAAATTCAGCATATTCAAAACTGAACATTATTTTGCCCCTCAAACCATCCCTTCTTCCCAGCCTCGATATTTCTGTTGAAGGCTGGGCTCATCATTTTTCCAGTCTTTCAGCTTCATAACCCCTACATTCCATCACCCCACATAGACAGTCAGTTGCCAGATTGTAACATTTCTACCTCCATAGCATTTTGCATCTGAACCATCCTCTCTAATCAATGATCACCTTAGTTTAGGCCCTCATCACCGTTCACCTAGACGATTGAAACATCCTACTAAATGATCTTCATGCCTCAAGTTTACTCCCCTATATGGCTTTCAACATAATTTCTCTTAATTGCAGAACTGCCCATGTCACTCTCATATTCAATCTTGAGCAGTTACCTCTAGGATAAAATATAAACTCTTCTCCTGAGTTCTTAAGGCATTTCACAGCCTGATTCTAACCTATCTTTCTCATATCTATATCTAAACACACACAAACACACATATAAATATATAGACACATATATATCCCCTTCTTATACTCTGCAGTACTTCCAAGGTGACCTTTTCTCTATTTCTAGCACGTTGTCTTTCATCACCAATCTGTATGCCTTTGTAATAGCTGTCCTCCATATCTGTAATATTGTTTTTCCTCTTCTTTCTTCAAGGGCTCAGGTGCCACCTTCTACATGATGCCTTTCCTGATCCCAGCAACTTATCCCCTTCTTCCCTTCTCCTCTATCTATCTAATATTTAATTACTTTGTATTTCTTCTATTTATGCTTATTCTGTATATAATTATACATGTGTATACACTATAACAAACTTATTTATAATGCAACAAACATATACACATGTGTGAAAAATGTATACATATACATTTAAATGGAGAAGACAACAAATACATACACAAACACAGATATTTATTGCTTCATTTGAATGTAAGCTCCTTGATAAGAATAATTTCATTCTTTGTATTTGTATCCGTGGTGCCTAGCAGAGTGCCTAGAATATGATGGGCAGTTAATAAATGCTTTTTGATTGATTGGAATCTTACTATGTTGGACCCATTGTGTTAGGCAAGGTGGGTATAAAGGTAAGAAGTTTTCTGTGTCTTCAAGAACCTATTATTTATGAGAGAAGAAAAAACCACAATCAACTGTAGGATAGGATTATAAGTTTATTGATTTAGAGATAAAAGGGAGTTCAGAGACCATCTAGTTTAATGCTATTGAGAGGGTACTGGGCTTGGAATCTGGAAGACTCATCTTCATGTGTTCAAATCCAGCTTCAGACACTTACTAGCTGTGTGACCCTGAGTAAAATCATTTAACCCTATTTGCCTCAATTCTTCATGTGTAAAAATGAGCTGGAGAAGGAAATGGCAAACTATTCCAGGGTCTTTGCCAAGAAAACCCCAAATGGTGTCATGAAGGGTTGGGCATGACGTAAAAATGACTAAACAACAAAGTTTAACACCTTCATTCTACAGATGTGGCAACTAAGGTTCAGTGAAATGATACAAATTGTCCAAGGTTGTCAGATCTTATGGTTCCTATCTTTCCAACATCTTTCATGTACATCTCTTTCTCTCTATTCATACAGCCACAACCTTAGTTCAGGCCCTCATCACCTCTCTCCTATACTACTGCAATCTAACAAATCTCCTCCCCTCAAATCTCTCCTTATGCTAAGATATTCACACTCAGTTGCCAAGGTGATTTTTCTTAAGTATAGATCTGAGCATGTGACTCTTTTCCTAAATGAACTTCAATGAATTCCTATTACATCCAGTATCCAATTCACATTCCTTCCTGGTGTAGTGAATTGTCTTGGACTTGGAGTCAAGAAAACCTGAATTCAAATCCAGCCTCATACTCTTACTAGCTGTGTGACCCAGAGCAAGTCAATTAACCTCTGTTACCTCAGTTTCCTCAACTTTAAAATGGGGGTAATAATAGCACCTACCATACAGAGTTGTTGTGAGGATTAAATGAGATAGTATTTGGGAAGCATTCAACACAGTGCCTGGCACATAGTAGGAGCTATATAAATGTTTATTCCCTTCTCCCTTTCCCCTCTTTGACATTTAAAGCTCTTCACAATTGGACCTCTTCCTACCTTTCCAGGCTTCTCACACTACGACCCCTTCCACGCATTCCATGATCCAGTTACACTTGCCTATTTACAATTCCTCCAACACAATATTCCATCCATTTCTCATCTCTGTACTTTTGCCCTGACTGTTCCTCATGCTTGAAATGTCCTCCTCCCTCACCTTTGTCTCTTACTTTCCCTGGCTTCCTTAGAGTATAAGCTCCAACCCCACCTTCTGCAGGAGTCCTTCCCTAGTTCCCCCAACTATTAGTGCCTTCCCCTCCGAGATTCCCTTCATCTACCCTCTCTTTATCTTGTATTATCTAGCTATTTATATGTTATATCTCTCATTAGAATGTCTGCTCCTTGACAGGACGGACTATCTTTTGTCTTTTGTTATATCTCCAGTGCTTAATGAAGCACATAATAAGCACTAAATAAAGGTTTGTTGACTGACTAAACTATATGGGGAATCAGGACATCTTCAAGAAGAGTCTTTTCAGCCTCCGTCAGAGGATTATGGGTAGAATGTTGGGTAGAATCAGAGAGGCTGCTTTTCTTAAGATTCAGAAACAAGATGGGTTAATGTTATAATTTGAGGTCAGCACTTCTCTCCCCTCCACCCCTTTGGAACATCTATACACTAGAAGTTTGTGATTTCTAGTCTGGAAGACTAGAGACTCACAGTGGAGTCTCACTGTGAACTGGAGACTCACAGTGAATGTATTGGTGAATTTGTTTACCTTCTATTTGAATCTCCTCTAAGGTAACATGTGAGAGTCTCTTATGAGCGCAGTTCTAGCCATAGCAGTGACCACGGATATGGGAAAGGGAGAGTTGGAGATACCAGCACATGAAGACTGGGCTATTTCAATGTTATTGCCTCTTGTCTCTTCTTATCCAGGGAGCCTCGATCACCAACAGGGACACCAATCGGTGCTTAGAAGTCAGTAAACGTTCCTCAGGTTCCCATATCCTTGTTCTCCAGAAATGCACTGGACAAAGATGGACTATCCAACATACTATCAGAAATTGGGGGGTCTCAAATGCCCTCAGTAAAAAAGGAACTGGCAGGTAACAACATGAGGGACCCTGGATCTGTGGATACATAGCCCTACAATTGAGAAGACTGTCTGCTTTCAAACTTTGTTCTGAGAAAGATGTCATCTTATATACGTGAATAAAAGTGCTGACACCAGCATAATGTAAAATGAATGTCGTGGTGGTAAATAGGATATGAATATGGAAGAAGTGCAGTTTAGGATGGGATTAGGGAAGAAGAGTGAGGGGGGAGGGTCAAGAAGATGCAACTGTGCTTTGTTTTCATATCAGTCCAAACAACACCATTACAATCCATTCCACAGATCATTAGAAATTGGTTGAAATGTAACATCTTGAAAGATTATTGCTTTGATTGGGGAAGTGGCGCTATCAAAGAAGAGTGTAAAAGCTACTCTCTGGGTTCTACTAGGATTATTGGGTTCACATATGCTATAGTTGCTCTGTCTGTTTTCTTTATGCCTTCTCTTGGCCCACATACTTAGACTCCTGGGTCAGTCTTTGTTCCTTGTGAAAGATTGAGTCCTTTTACTTTCTTTGTCAGAAATCAAGGAGATCCCTGAGGAAATATCGGTGTTTCTCCTGGTTTCAGCAAACTTTAAATTCGGTAGCCCTCCTCTCCTTTTTATGGAAATGTATATTAGTCTTATGGGAAGTAGAAAGTTTTTAGGTCTATTTCTGATGCAACAAAAAATTTTCAAGTAACTAAAATTCTCTCAAAGTAGAATGGACTGCATTGGGAGGGGGTGGGTTTCTCTTTATTAGAGATGCTGTCAAGCAAAGGCTGGGCAATGGCCTGTCATGTATGTTATAAAGTGGATTCTTTCTTATTCAGATATCGGTTAAATATGATAGCATCTGGGGTCCTTTGCAATCTCAGAATTCTGTTATTCTGCTTGGCTTTCATAGCTTTCACCAAACATAGATATTCAGCTGATGGCATCTACCTGATTTCTAGGCATTCTAGTTTCCAGGAAAAATGTAATTGGCCTCTCTAAGTTTGATCTTGGAACACCCATACCAAAACCTTAAAAGGATTGTGTCAGAAAATAGACTTTCTTCTGTTCCCTTCCCCATTCCTATTCTCAAAGAAAGATCAAAGCCTGTACATCTGCAACAATGGTTGATATGAAAATCTGCTCTTCAATTAAGTGTAAATGCTTCTTTCCCCCTGAGGACAAGGATGATACTGTAAATATAAATGATCCAATGTACTATCAGAATGAATAGCATACTTTTGCCCTTGTGAAATTTAGAGGAGAAGAAGGCAGATGAAAAGGGAATGCTTTTTAGGAAATTCTCTCCAAGAGAATCAAGGTTAAGTAAAGAGTGTTGCTATGCCTTTAGAACTCAAAAGTTCTCTGCTTCTCTTTTTTTTATTTGGTGTCAATTTATTTATTCCCATAATTCTTTCAGAACACCCCTCCTCGTCTTGGTCAAATTCAGGGGTTACTGAAACAGAGTCCAAAGAATCAGAAAAAATTTAGATGTTCTTAAGGTTTAGGCTACAGGAATCAGTAGACTCACAAAAAATGAAGTCATCCTGAGGTTTAGTGAAGAAGGTATTTCTATGATCCTATAAACTTTATCTCCTGGTGGCCTTTCTTCACTGGTAGTAACATGACTATATGCTCAGATATGCACCAGCCATCACACCTCCTCTCTCTATCACATCTGTTACCACCTCCCATGACTTAGCCCTTCAGCAAACTTAGGGAGCCCAGGACATTTTAGCACTCCAAAGATGTCTTTATCAGCAAATGGTGTCTAGGGGAGGGGAAGGGAAAGGAAGAGAGTAAATGTTTATATAATGCCTACCACGTGCCAGGTGCTGTGCTTTATACTGCGATTTAAAAATACCATCTCATTTGATCTTCACATGTGGCAACTCTGTGACATAGGTGCTGTTATTGTCCCCATTTTACAGTTGAGGAAACTGAGGCAAGCATGTCAAATGTCTTACCTGGGGCTGGACAGTAACTTGATACCTAGAGGATACAACTACTGACATGCTACATGATTCTAGGTAAATTACCCCTCAGTTTTGTGCTTCATCTTTTTCACTTGGCCAATTATAATAGAAAGAATGACAACTCATATTTACATAGTTCTATAAAGTTTGCAAAACAGTTCACAAATATCTCATTTTGTCCTCGCAACAACTCTAGGGAGGCAAATGCTAATTATTACCCCCACTTTATAAATGAGTAAACTGAGGCAAATAGAAGTCAAGTAACTTGCCCAAGGTCACACAGCTAATAAGGCCTGGATTTGAATCTTACTGACTCTAGATCCAGGGCCAAGATAGTTAAGTGCATGGAACTTCTCAGAGAAAGGCCCTATGGACACAATTTTTTTTCTTGCAGCTTTTAGTACCCTCCCACTGAAGAGTTGTGTCTAATAATTTTAATTCTGAGGAGTCTAGAATTCAGTATTGTTCTCCCATAAGTAGCAATTCCTAAGGAAAAAGGGTTGGGATGAGAATATATGCTATCGGAGAAGGTATTTTGAGATCTCTTAGGGAATTGTTATCAATCCAGAGACTTGATTGACTCCTGTTCCCCTGGGGATCTTCCTGGTCATCTAAGGGCATAAAAAAATCTCACCAGGTGGAGTTGGTGCTTCTAGGATTTAGTGGGTGCTTGAGACCACACAAGTAGCTATATCTTGCCTTCATGACATGCTGTCCAGACATATTTCCATAAGGACGTGAGTGAGACCTTGTACCTACCAAAGCTATAAGGACCAATGCATCCTTTTAGAATATACTTGCTGGGTTAGGGCAAAACTCTTCAAGGATTGAGGAGTGCCTCCTTTCATCCCAAAATCAAACCTGAACTACGAGAGATGCTGGCATTAGGCCCAGCTCTTATACTCCTATGCCTTCTCTGGGAGATTTGACTCTGGGTTAGTGGAAATACTGGGTTTATTAGATGACAAATCTATCTTTACTACCACTGCAGCTTCTCACTAAATTCTGACTTTTATAAAGCTTTCAAATTGCTTTATTCTTTTTTTTTTTTTTTGGCTAGGCAATGGGGTTAAGTGATGTTCCCAAGTGTCCGAGGTCGGTTTTGAACTCAGGTTCTCCTGACTCCAGGGCTGGTGCTCTATCCACTGCGCCACTAGAGCTTTCACATTGGCAGGAAACTTGTGGGATGTTATACCTAGCCTGAGGGGAATGTGTTGTGGCAAACAACAGCAGGAATAGGCTCTAAGAAGAACATTCTATTGAATTAGGAACATTCTAGAGGTGGAGAAAGACAAGGAGCTTTGGGTTTGGCTCCTGGAACATGGTACTGGTGCCAACCTGGGGGCATGCTGGCAGGACTGTATTACAACAACTAGAAGTAATAGCCTAAAGTATCCTGAGTATCCCCTAAAGCATCCCATCTTCACCTCACTGGAATATGAGGGATTATTACACACTGGCAACTGGGTTACTGTCATTACCAGTGAACCACCAGTTTCCATGAAGTTTTTGAGGGAAGACTACTGAAGCAAGGGGGAATCAAGGGCAGCTTTTGGGAATTGGTACCCATATGATACTAATGGCATGCTGTGAGTAGGACTGAATTGAAATCCTAGGCACTGCCCGAGCCAACTTTTATAGTTAGCGCTGAACAATACTGGATCAATCTCTATTCTGGTGGCTGAGTGCAGTCAGTCACTTTCATCTAGGGAACAGTTAAGTGTACCTTCACCATTCTTCCCTGATGCTACCTAATACTGACACAATCTAGTGGGCTGAGACTTAAAAGTGGCCCCATTTTCTAAGGTTACTGATGTCTACCACTGTGTTAATAACATAATTTGACCAAGCCAGATGAGGTCACAGTGGCAGAGGTTCTAGGTGGGATAATGGACCATAAGACGGAAAAAGGAGGAGAGATCAGCCCTAAGAAAATTCAGGACCCAGACTGCCCAGTCAAGTTTGAAGAAATAGAGTAGATGGGGTGAACCCAAATAATTCCAGACACAGTCCAGAACAAAGCCTATACCTTGTTCTATACACACACACACACACACACACACACACACACACACACACACACACACGTATATATATATATGCTTCTATATAGTCTAAAAGAAAAGCCTCTGCCTTTTTGGATTCCAAGTTTCAAAGAACCAACATTTCCCATGTGTGCGTCTTGATGGCCCATATTTACTGAGTTATCTGTAAATCTGCCTCTTTCAAGCAGGACCTAGAACATGCTTTAGCCTTGTAAGACTTAAATTGGTCCACTAAGGGCTGCCAGCAGTTTCTCTCCTTGGGTCTTTATGATAAGACTTGGTGAGATCCAGGTTTTTTGAGTTCTGTCCGTGTAGATGAGGCTAAGTGAAGCCTTTGGCAAAAGTGGCCATGCCAAACAACTATTAGTATTCTGGAGCTGAAAGCTCCCCCAAAGCAACTGTTGACTAAATGTCTCTGGAAAAGCAGTTGCTCATCTGTTAATTGGGCCCTAGTCACTACCAAATTGATGATGGAGGGTCTTATCATCACCCTTTACCCTTTGCCCAGTGTTGCCTATTAAGTGTTGGGTGGTGCAAGATGGTACTTCTAACGAGATGGGTAGGGCCCAGGAGGTCTCTATTGTGGTTTTTTTTTTTGGGGGGGGGAGTAAGGCAATCAGGGTTAAGTGACTTGCCCAGGGTCACACAGCTAGTAAGTGTCAAGTGTCTGAAGCTGGATTTGAACTCAGGTCCTCCTGACTCCAGGGGCGGTGGCTATCCACTGCCCCACCTAGCTGCCCCAGAGGCCTCTATTATTAAACAGGATGGGCATATTCAAAAACTTGCTCATCCAGGACCATCAGACATTAGTGACCTTCACAAACAGTTTGTGATTTTACCAGAGACTAAGGCCTTCAGTTCTAGCTGATTCCTGGCCTGTGGCTTTGGATCTATCTGACTGTTCTGGGGTCACAAGAATCAGGACTAGACAACCAAGGGCTCTCCCTTTTGATATAAATTTATTTATTTTTAGTTTTCAACATTCACTTCCACAAGTTTTTGAGCTCCAAATTTTCACCCCATCTCACCCCTC